TATATATATATATATATTTATTTTTTTTTTTTATTATCTTCTACAAAAAAAATGAATCTTCGTAGACACACTTTACCGAAACATACGCATCGAGCAATGCGCATACCTTATAACGTCTTCTCTTGCGATCAATCTTAATTTTATCGATTCGATCGATCCGAACCGAAACCGAGTACGACACGCATAGAAATAAAGAGAGAGAGAAAGAGAGAGAGAGAGTGAGAGAATATATATAATACGAGTGAATGAATAAATGTATGTACGTATGTGTGGGCGAGTGTATGCGCGCGCGTGTGTATGAGCGTGTGTCATTGTCATATAAATGAAAATGAAAGAGTATGAAAAGTCGATAAGTGGTCAACCTACGTTGTTAGCTGAATATGATTTTTATAGAAATGTATTTATATAGATAAAAACTACATCGTTATATTGCATAAAAAAAAAGGGAAAAAAAAAAAGGAGAAATTCGCACGTCTAGTGTAAAAATTTTGTTCACTCGTGATACACACGAATTTTAACCGAACGCGCTTTTCAAAACCGATGCGAATTATCTTTGTATCGTTTTTTTTTCTCCTCTTCCTCCTCCTCCTCCTCCTGCTCCCCCCTCCCCCGCCCCTAGCGTCAGTAATGTTTTATTAGATTATATAAAAAAGAAAAAAGAAAAAAAAAAAAAAATTATAAAAATTAAAGTTTCGTAGCAGTCGAGCATTCGATACTTTTTTTTTCCTTGTTAATTATTAATTATTATCGTATAACATAGAGTCGAGAGAAAAGCGAGAAGAAAAGAGGTTGGAATCGATGATGGTGGTAACGACGGTTGAAAATAGCATGTTACGAGCGACTTTAAACGTCACTTTAAACGTCTATATATATTATTCAATGCATAACGCGTATCAGATGTAGGTAGATTTTTGAATACGAGCGATATAGCGATATATTACTTTTCATAGACAAGACAAGAAAAGAAAAGAAAGAGAAACACGTTTGAACAGAGGTTAGGACGAAACAATGATATTATAAATCGTAGCATACAACTTGTTTCTTAATTTTCCACTTTCTTTCTTATGCGTATCGGACAAAATAATCCAGCATTGTTTTTTTTTTTTTTTTTGATTAAAGTGAAGATTGATTTGAAGCTAGATGAAAAATTTCAGACAATTTCGTAATAATTAACGAGAGGAATTAAAATCACAGCAAAATACATCAATGCAGCGATTTACAAAATAAGGATTTATTAAAAAAAAATCGATGTATCTACATCGTATCGTAAAGTAACTTGTCCAGCAAGTAGCAATTAATTACACGACTGTCCATAAATTTATACATTTTCAAGATACATTCAATATCGACATTTAAAAGTCGTCTAATTATAATAAATATATGTTAGCTTAACATTGTATTCTTATATTAGATCACAGTCTTCGATTGAGTTTCACACTGTTCGCCGTTTTTCCTTGATGACTGTTTTATACGATAAAAAGTAAC